CGAGATATATACCAGGATCTGAAAAGGATCTTCTTGGATATATAGTGCATGTTCATACTTACAAATTATATACTTTTTCAGGAATAATAAGACACTGCCTTCTTTTCTCTCTTTCATACTGTCTCCTACTCTGTCAAAAATCTATCAAATTATGTGCCCATCCACCAAAAAAACAAATCAGCTTTAGGAAGTGTTTGCACTGTTGTATGAAATGTGGGAGTCACTACAAGCAACAGAAGACATCAGAAAAGGAACTGGAAGGATGTCAATGTAGCAGACACCAGGTAAATGAGACTCCCTACATAGGAAATATAAGGCAGGCAGCACAGGTCTTTGAAGTATAACAGATATTTGTGGCTTTCAGAATACTTTCAAAGAAATCCATTATATCCATCCTAACAATGTCCAGACTGGACCTGTTCTTTTTTTAAACAGATGATGTTCCCTAAATCTTTCAGGATAATTTAGATCTTTTTATATTTTTATAAATTACTGGATTCTTTGTCTTGTCCTTACCCTCTTACTAGCTTCCTACTAGATCTGGGAAGATCTGAATTGACACAGCATCCAGTAAAGGTTACACCAGCCCCAAATACACAGGTAAACCAGTATCCCTGGTCCAATTCAAGGATCATTTATTTATTTACTTATTAATATGCATTTTTATATATACACATTTGATTAATTATTTTGCTGCAATGCTGCTCTGGAAGCTCATTTCCAGTTGATCAAAGTCTCTGGCTCCCCAGTCTTTGACAAAGTTACAGGTTCTCAGGATGAAGTCCCCCATCTTGTTATGACCTGATAAAACTTTTCATTTTTAGGAGATGCAGGTTTTGTAGCTGTCATTAAAATACTCATTATTTAGTTGTGAACACAGTCTGACAGTTTGAAAATCCCATGCTATTCTATACCAATGGCATTTTTCTGCACTCTTTTCCACTCCTTCTGCAAATAAATCACTGTTTTCAGTAGTTGCTAATATATTTATGTAGCACTGGGCCAAGAACTCATTCTTGTGCTACTCCAAAGGACTACATCAAAATCACCAATCATACCCCATTTCCAAATCCATTTTCACATCCATCAATATTTAGTTTATTAATCCAATTATTGCATGGAAAGTTATTTTGCAGTGGGTGCCAATCAAACACCTTGAAGATGTCTGACTAATATTAACAAACTTACCTCTATCAACCAAAACTGAAATTGGATCAAAACAGATACAAAGTTAGTTTGACAAAATCAGTTTTCCATAAGCCACCTTATCTTTCTTTCATTCATTATTAAGTAAGTTCCGTATCAGCCATTCTTTTACTATTTATGATGTTAATTCTTTTAAAATACTGCCACAACAAGAGTTCTTCCAGTCATAACACCTTCTTATCAGAGAATATATCTTGTTGAATGTTTGGGTTTTAATTATTATTTCTGGTTTAGCAATGATAATTACTATAATATTGTCCTCCTCTTTTTACCTAAAAGTTGCCAATGGTCTTTACAAAGGACATGCACAATCCTGAATTTGAGAACACACAGTCTATCATTGACAACAAAGAGTCATGACATGGAGAAGGGAGAAGCTGGAGAAGGAATATATATATTCATTTAACCTCCACTCAGACGTATCTTTAAAGGATGAGAGAGAGAAAAAGAAAAGTGAAAAAGATAAGTGGAATCCTGAAATACTAAATAATAGTTTGCTTTGATTGATTGTTTGAGGAAAAAAGACTAAAATTTCCACCAAAACTAATATTTGATAAAAGCTGTTCCTAAAGAAAATAAATTTTCCTTCAAAGGGTGTTCATAGTCATTATCTAGGATGAACTTTGACTAGGAAACTGAAACACTCCTGAGAAAAGGACAGCAGAGTGTAAACACAGAGAGTAGGAACGTGGCCTTTGCCCACTGACTGAAGGATAACATTTGTCACTACATGTTGCCTTTCACCCCATCAGGCATTCATTCAAGAGCAGAAGTCACAATTTCTGAGTCATAAATGACATTCTACTGTCCTCTGGATTTTCCTTCAGAATCTCCAATCCAGATGTTTGCTGAAGTCAAAGTTTCTTAGTTCATAGGGCTTACAAATACTGGAGGAGAAAATCTGGTAGCTCTTTTACTCCCTCTGGTATTTCTATAGGTTAACCTGCCTTCCTGGACAGTATAGGTGACTCTCCTTGATCAGCACAGAAATTAAGCTGGATCCACGTTTTACATCAAAAAAGAGGCCTCAGCAAGAGGCTTCAGACTTTGAAATCTCTTGCTTGGGCCTTTGCTATTGTTTTTCTAAAATACCAAACTAAACCTTTCTCGCCAGCTTTCCAAATCCTTGATCTCAAAGACAGTGTTCTCAACGGTATTTTGTGGTAAATCTTCACTCAAGATGGATTCCTCGTTAAGTTCTTGCTATGGTCAATGAAACACTGCTCTAAGATTTTTTATCATTTGACTGCCATGCAAATGGCCCACACATATCAACACCAGAACTGTGCATGCAAAGAAAGTGTGGGTCTTTCAGAAAGGTATAATTGTCTGTCCTTACATGATGTTAACCCTAAGTTCCCACCTTAGACTTTAGAACCCCTCAGAGATTTATAATTCCTCTATTCTTAAAAAAAAACCCAAAAAAACCAAAAAAAAAAAAAAAAACAAAAAAAAAAAACAACACCTTTTCACCTTCCATACAGTCAACAAAGGACAGATTGGCTTTGCTGTAAAGTCTCTGGCAGAAAATTTACTCAATCATAAGTCTTGTTACAGAGCAGTGACAGTCAGTCCTTAATGGTGCATTGGTTGCACACAAATGAGTGAAAAGAAATCTTGTCTAGAAGTCAACCTGTCTATAGGCATATAATTTAAAACACTGCTACTTAATTATGAATTGGACATGATTTCTTGTCTAAAACCTGAAACCTACCTTTGAAAAATTCCTCTGTGACCCGATCCTCTTTGAGACCTTTTTGAGATGTCGCTTTCTGTCTGCCCTGACTTCTGCACAGGAATATTTTAAGTTTTTTCTAGGGTTATTTTTCTACTTCTAGTATTTCTCTCCAGTTATATATGACTTTCCACATCTTTTTTTGTCATTACTTTTTTTTTTTTTCCCTCCTCTTATTTGGTTTCTTGCCATTTTTCCTCAGTCCTTCCAGTTTCCCCATCTCCTATTTCTTTCACTATTTCCTTGTCTTATCTTCCCCTTGCTTTCTTTTTCCTCATCTCCCTCCTTACTTTTTCTCCACCTTTTCCACTTCTCTTTTCCTTTGATTTCCAACCTGCAAAGAAGCATTATCCCCACAGGCTCTTCAGCACTCTTTGATCATCTGCTAGCCTCTGCAAGCAAAATAATCCAGCGGCTCCACCTGTCCCAGTTAACCCAGAGTCCCCAAAGGGGTTGAGAGGGACTTGCCTCTAGCAGGTGACAGAAGAGGGTTAGCACTGCCCTGAAAGTTGAAGCAGAGAGGGTCAGTTTGCCAAAGCAGTGGTATTGGCAAGAAGACACGGTGCCAGACACAAACCGACTCATTTATGTTCCCCCAATTAAAGCAGCCTATAGGGAAAGTAGCATGCCACTGTAGTGCACTGGTGTACTGACCCCTCTGAGTGCTTGTTAGTGCTCACCATACTCAGCATTTCCTCTCACTGATTGATAGGACGATATGTGTATGTATGGCAGAGAGCAGATTCATTACAGCGCATTAGCCAGACAGGCAGACAAATGCCCACAGGGGCAGAAAAGCTGTAAGGAATAAATAAAAACTTTATTATTTTTCTTAAAGTTCTTTTCCCCAGGCTACAGTGAGGAATACTGGAGGAACAGGAGAGCAGAGGGAGCCAAGAAGAGAAAGGGAGTGGCAAGAACTGGAGGGAAATTCTATTAGCAGTCAAAGAAAGGTTTAAAATATTCATTGTTGGATTCAGAGTTTGGATAGTAGCTGAAACTCTACTTATCTTTATTTTCCTTCCCACTGATAAATAAGAAGGGTCAGTGCATCAGATATCAAGCTATGAGAACATTCCTGATGTAGCATCTCTGAAATGGCTACCTGGCTGCTCCACTCACTGCAATTAATCTTGCCTCAGTTTTAAAAATGAAAAAACAAACTAGTATCAGCCTTTGTCAACAGCTGCCACCATGTGGCATCTGAAATACCATCAGTTACTTCCCATTCAAATAGAGAGAAATATGGTGACATCATGTGATCTGATTAGTGATGGTTTTTAAGCATTAGTTCTGTAATGCACAGCTTGCAAGAAATGACATGGCTGCAGTGTGGCAGCTCTGCACCCCTGCACATGCCCTGCTCAGGCCAAGGAGTGGGCAGCCTGTGTGATATTGCCCCTGACACCATGGCCACTGTACTAAACCACTTAATCACTTGTCCTTGGAGATGAGAGACCAGACCATAGTCCAGGACCGCTCCATGCTGTCAATATCAGTGCATGAAAAAAATGTATTCCCAAATGGCTGATGCCAAAAACACATCTGCCAGACACAGATTTACCATGAAGCAGCATCTTCTCTCCCTATGTCTCATGAGAAGCTGCCTGTACTGCCACAGGGCGATGGAGGAAACATGGAGCTGCGTAGCCCTGTTCCCACTTGCCCCTGGCAGGACCTCAGCCTGTCTGCTGCCTGGAAGTACAGTGTGATGTGGAAAGAAAACTCCAGACATTCCACTGTCCAAAGGGAAGACGGAGATTTAGTTGTCAGCCCTAGATCATTAGAGAGTTGACCTAAGATTAATGATTCAATGAGCATATATTGAGGCAGCACGGGGACAAGACCTAGTTAGATAATACACTAGCATTTGATTGCTTGAGCCCTATGTATTTTTTAGAACTTGTAAATTCAAGAGCTTCACAACTCACCTTCCTCCTGGATTTCATCTAGGTGTACTTCAAAGTGAGCTAATTACATTACAATTAGGAATAGCTTTCCACAGATAACACAGCATTCAGAAATCTGCTTTGTAAATATCTGTTGGTAATATAGGTACCTCTGAGATTGCTGAGGCTTTGTCTGATGAAAAATGTGTTCCCACTGGAAAAAATCCACTGAACCCAGGATACTGTGAAACTGGCATATGACACTGTGAATAATGTGCACGGGCTTCTTCTCGAGGGTGCTTTTCTGTCCAGTCTTGATCCTTTAGCTTTCCTCTGAGCTGAAACTGTAGTCCAGTCAGTGTTTGCAGCATTGCTTTATTTCTTCCCTTTCCACTATTAGCAGAGCTGAAAAAATCACTATAAAACACACAGACAAAAAAGAAGCACCAATTTAATTTCTTTCAGTGTACCTCTACTACTGGAAAAAAAAATAAATCCTTAAATACAAAGCCAAACTAATGCTATGGTTATAGGGCACCCATAAGGACACAATCCCTAGCATATTACTGGGGAAAAAAAAAAAAAAAAACAACCAACCACCCAAACCCAAAAAACCCAAACCAAAACAAAAAGATAAGAAGAAACAGTTGGCATTCAGTTAACAATCATGTTTGGAGGTTTGTGACTGACTTTGTTATTCCAAGGGAAGCCAGGTACCAGTCTCTTGGGATTAGGTACAAAGGTAAGAAAAAAGTGGACATGTATGAATCTCAAAGGTGACTGCTGGGTTAATAAAACAGCCTGTTTTCTGTTCACCCACTCTTCCTCTCAGTGTGCAAGTACATTAAAATATGTCAAAAGGAAAGCCATTTGCTGAGGAAAAATAATTCAGCTAAAAGTCAAAATTTCCAGCTGGTGTATTGCCTTGGTGTGTGCAAGTTCACTAACAAAGTGACCCACACATCTCACTGGATGAAAGTTGGTATCCTCATTAAAGTAGAAACAAACACTTGAAAATAGGAACAACTGCCAGTTAAAAAAAAAAGGACCACGATTGATATGAGAAGCCTTCATTTTTCCACATTCTGTTTCCTCCTTGCTCTATAGCAGTTACGATATATATTTAAGTAACCTCTTGAAAAGTAATGAAGGTAAAACTGATTCTGTATGCAGTAACCATTCCCATTTGTTGGAGGAATTGCGTTGCTAACAACCATCCACATTATCATTCTATGTTCAGAAGAAATATTTTCACATTCCAGTTTCTAAACTGCCACACACAACACAAGGACTGGTTCCTGTGAAGAGTAACCCTTTCAAAAGTGAATAGCTCTGGGGAAGAAAACTTTATATCAGAATTACTCACACTATAAAGGGTTTGTAGGATCAGCCTCCAACCCTTTAAAATAAAAGTACACTTATACTGGTGTATACTGCCTTTGCCCCCAGAAAACATAGTAAGACTTGAACACATTTACTGCACTGTAAGTATTTTTTGTAATATGAACAGCATGATACATTAGATCTGTTCCTTGGCCCACGCCCCGGCAGAAAGCACTATCACACAGACAGAAAGCAAAATGGGGGAAGAGGTAACGTGATTATCTTTGGGAAATAAATAAATAAATAAATAAATAAATAAATAAATAAATAAATAAATAAAGTTAAGAAGTTTTCCAAAATCTCTAATGTCAGCAGAGTATATTATGATGAACTGTTTGAACCACAGAATCCCATTATGGGTGAGACTGGAAAGAACTGGTGGCCAACTAGTTGAACTGCCCTGTCCATAGCAGGGTCAGCCACAGCATGTTGCCCAGGGCCAGGGCATGTTTTAAATATCTCCAGGGACAGAGACTCTCCAGGCAACCTATTCCGGTCTTTGGCCACCCTCATAGTAATAAAGGCTTTTTTCTCATGAGGGAATTGAAATTTCCTCATTTCAGTTTATGCCTGTTGCTTCTTGGCCTGTCATTGGGCACCACTCAGATGAGTGATACCACCTTTTTTACTCCCTCCCATCAAGGATTTATACGCAAGATCCTCCTGAGTATTTTCTTCTCCAGGCTGATCAACTCCAGCTCTCTCACGCTCTTCACATAACTCATATGCTCCAGGGCCTTCAGCATCGTTGTGGCCCTTTGCTGGACTCACTCCAGTACATTGATGTTCCTCTCATACCAGGCAGCCCAGGACTGGAGCCAGTACTCCAGCTGTAGTCTCCCCAGTGCTGAGGAGTAGGGAAGGATCACATCCTTAACTTGCAGGTGATGCAGTGCTGTTCCTGATGCACCCAAGGAGAGGCTGTTGGGCTTTCTTGTTGAAAAGGTGCGTTGCTGGCTCATGGTCCAACAGGACCCCCAGGGCTTTCTCTGAAAAGCTGCTTCCACTTTTTTGGTACTGCCAGCAGCAGCAGTGGAGAAGAAGAAAGCCTTGTAGCTTTTCCTTTTGATCGAGGCTTTTCAATGTATTTCTTACTGGCTAATATGCACTAAAGAGGGGATAACTGTAACTGAATAAAAATGTAAGTTTTAACACTCCAAAATCCCCTCTTCTTTTTTTCGCACAAAATAAACATCATTTCTAAAACTTATTCTACTAATGTTGACCCCTGCAAGAATAAAAGTCAGGATAATTATCTGTCTTTGTTCTTTCAGAGTATCTTCAACTGAGGCTCTGATGTAAATACATCACAAAAAACTACAGCACTCCTTCTCACAGCAGCCTCTTATAATAGACACAAGAAAGAGGGAAAGCTGAGGAACAGTTTAGCTAACTCATCTGTGCTGATTCAAAAATAAAATAACAGAAATGTGCCGTATCTCCTAAGTGCTAATGTTGCTCCTTAGCCACAAAGACTAAATGGTTACTCCTTTTGTACACAGCCTTTGATCCATTGTGCCTGGATTAAATACCTGCTTTGCAGGTATGTGCATAGTCAGCTCCATACTAAAGCCCAGCTAAAAACAAAGTCTTCCCATGTTCCCAGAAGGTCACCTTGTCACCTTGTTCTTGTGTCTGAGCATCAGGCTGCCTCAACCATGGGAGTGGTGTTGCTTCCCATCTGTTCTACAGTGTGAAGGATTTCTCTTCCTTACCTCACTGGCCCTCTCTCCTATTCTGAAAGGCAAACTACTCCATTGTGCACACCTGTGAAGTTATGAAATATGAAAACTGAGAATATAGCTTTAACTACCCCTTCCTGGTCACTGTGGTCTTATTGTGCCTATTTGGTCGTCACTTGCATGCCTTGATATGCAAGCTAATGTTGCAGTCCTTTTGTGAGCAAAACTCCCCATTGACTCTTATGTCTTTGTATTAAAAAATGTACTAGAAATGCAGAGCAGCAGTTCTGAACAAAAGAATTTAGTAATTTTTCTTTTAGTTTTCCTCTTCAGAAATGCCCTAAGGCAGTCATCTATTTCAGTCAATGGAAGGCTGAAAATATTCAATCAGAAAAAAAGAAAAAAAAATCTATTTTTGAGTAATAGAAACATAAAAGACATCTAAACCCACAAACATTATTTATGTACACATCTAGGACCAGAGTTCTTCACATTACATTGACTTTTTTGTTAACTCTTTGCTTTATAATTTACACAATAGCTTACAAATAGCTAAATAAAGTTAATCCTATTTAATTTCTACAACCATTTGAAATACAATTTGCTGCTTACCACGCTGCTTTTATTAGAACTGATCAAGAAGTAGCACCAAAAAAGAAAAAAAAAACTTGTAATGTCTTTTTCATAATTTTATTTTTATTGATAGTTTGAGGCTTTAATAATTTTCTAGTCATAGCAAAATCTCAAATAATTCCAGAGGAAACAAAAAAAAATATTGAAAGCTTATTAAAATTAAAACTATGTATGAGTTATTTAAGAGTAAAAAAAAATCTCATAAGAATTTTGCATGAAGGCTCTGTCTAAATGAAAAGTAAATATATACAGGTTTGGAAATATCCAGTGAGTTTATCCAAAGAACCTTAACTCTGATCTGTAGCAATGCCAAGCAATAAATGTATATCTATATTGATAGTAGTTTAGTCTTTGCAGCTCTAGAAAAAATTAAATTGATTTTTAAAAATTCAATACAGTTTATGTGACTCAATATCTGGCATAATTATTTTTTTTTATTTCCAGTTTGAGTAAAACATAAGATACAGAAATTGTGCAAAAAAATAAGTTTTACATTTTACAAAAGGGCATAGGGAAATAAGTAGGATGATTTAGAATATTAAATGATGAAGGTAATGAACAAGTGGTCTTACTTGAGAATTGGAAGGATGATTCACTAAAATAGAATTTCAGCAGTGTGTAAAAGGTATATTGGTGCAATAAAATAAAAGAATGAGAACTGGTCAGAGAGCTGTATTAACCTATAAAGGGGGACACCCAGGAGATTTGAAATTGCATATGCAGACGCATCACATTATGACTCAGGTAAAAGCCTTGCTGTAGAACATTAACACCTGAAAATCACACCTAGAATAATCTAAAGTGCAATACATGTCTCTTTGAGCAGCCTATACCAGAAAGATGAATAAAGTAGAAGGAAATTAAATTAAGGTAAACAGCAAACATTGATAAGGGACTTAGGAACGGAATTATGAGGAAAGCTGGATGACAAATCCAGAACTTTTAACATCATATATATGAAAAATATGAACACCAAGAAAGAAACATTTATTACAAGAAGAAAATGTTATCCTTGTAATTATGGTGATATTAAGAATATTAAGTAGAATATCATAACAATTCTTCATAAAGAATATGAAGCAACGGTGTTATATTGTCCCAGAGAAAGTGGTATAATCCCCATCATTTGATTCGTTTAAATTGAGACTTGGCAAAACATTAGTGAAGTTATTGTACAGTAGGTCATGATCCTGTATTGGCAGGGGATGGACAAAATGACCTAGCAGGTCTTTTCCCTCTCAATCTTCTTTGATTCTAAAAGGCTCTAAGTCAGATGTTTCCATCATTTGTCTACGAGATCAGCAGAGCTCAGAGCTACCACAGGGAGACCTGTAAGGGTGAGGGTGAATGTAGACTTGGCTAATAAAATATCAGAATCCCATAACAGTCAAGAAATTCTTTCTCATTTATCGTTATAAATATATATGTATATTCTTTTCAGGGTTCAGTGTGAATAACTGCACAGAAAACTAAATTTTAAGACATTCAAAGGCAAAATAAGTGTAGAGGTCACTACTGCAGAGGGATCAGACTGGAGTAGCAGCAAAAGAAAATGTACAGTCCCCTGCCATCAACTTTTTGAAAATGCAGGTCTCAAAGGTAAGGCAGTAGCAGGATGTCATGCACAAATTTTTTTTTTCTTGATTACCATTCACATAGAAACAAGTTTTTGA